GTGCCATATGATAAGCCCCTCAGGTTGGAAGTCACTCAAAATATGACTGGAGAAAAAGTGCCTACTCCAAGTAGAGTGGACCTTAATGATGTGGATGAAGCAAAGCCTTTGGACACTTTGGTTACAGATGGGACATGACTCAAAATGCAAGAAACAGCTAAAACATTAATAATCAGAACATGCAATGTACAAAGTAGTATTCAAATTTATGCACCAACCATGAAGGCCTAAGATGAAGAAACTGAAGATTTCTACCAACTTCTCCAGACAAAAATTGACTAAATATGCAATCAAGATATAGTAATGATTACTTGTGACTGGAATGTGAAAGTTGGAAATTAAGATGCATCAGTATAGTTGGAAAATATGGCCTTGGTGGGAGAAATGACACTGAAGGTCACATGATAAAATTTTTTAAGACTACAGAGTTATTCATGGCAAATATCTTTTTCAACAACATAAATAGTGGAGTACACATGGACCTCACCAGATGGAAAACACAGGAATAAAATCAACTACATCTGTGGAAAGAGGCAATGGAGAAGCTCAATATCATCAATTCAAAAAAGCACAGGAGCTAACTGTGGAACAGATCATCAAGTACTGACATGCAAGTTCAAGTTGAAACTGAAGAAAAGTAAAACAAGTCCACAAGAGCCAATATACAATCTTGATTATATCCCACCTGAACATTGAGACCACTTGAAGAACAAATTTTGATGCACTGAACACCAGTGACCAGAGATCAGATGAAGCATGGGATGACATCAAGAACATCACACATGAAGAAAACAAAAGGTCATTAAAAAGGCAGAAAAGCAAGAAAATACCAAAAAAGGTGTCAGAAGACACTCTGAAACTTGCTATTGAATATAGGGTAGCTAAAGTGAATGGAAAAAATGATGAAATTGACAAGCTGAACAGAAAATTTCAAAAGATGGCTTGAGAAGACAAAGTATGATAATAAAATGTGCCAAGATCTGGAGTTAGAAAACCAAAAGGTAAGAACACACTCAGCATTTCTCAAGCTGAAAGAATTGAAGAAAAAAATTCATCAAGTCTCAGGCTGCAATACTGAAGGATTCTATGGGCAAAATATGGAAGGAATACATAGAATATATAGAGTCACTGTACCAAAAAGAGTTAGTTGGTGTTCATCCATTTCAGGAGGTAGCATATGATCAAGAACCAATGGTACTGAAGGAAGAAGTCAAAGCTGCACTGAGGGAGTTGGCAAAAAAAACAAGGCTCCAGGAATTGACAGAATACCCATTGAGATGTCTCAACAACATTGAGATGTCTCAACAACATTGAGGTGCCTCCCCGCTGGAGGCACTCACTCAGCTATGCCAAGAGCTTGAAAGTCATCTACCTGGCACACTGACTGGAAGATATCCATGTTTGAAACCATCCAAAGAGAAGTGATCCTGCAGAATGTGGAAATTATCAAACAATATCATTAATATCACATGCAAGTAAAATCTTACTGAAGATAATTCAAAAATGATTATAGCAATATATTGACAGAGAACTTCCAGAAATGCAAGCTGGATTCAGAAAAAGATGTGGAACAAGGAATGTCACTGCTGATGTCAGATGGATCTTGGCTCAAAGCAAAGAATACCAGAAAAATGTTTACTTGTGTTTCAACTATGCAAACACATTTGATTGTATGAATCGTAACAAATTATTAATAACATTGAGAAGAATAGGGATTCCAGAACACTTCATTGTACTCATGAAGAACCTGTACATAGAACAGGAGGTTGTCATTTGAACAGAACAAGTTTAAAATCAGGAAGGGAATGCATCAAGGTTGTATCCTTTCACCATATTTATTCAATCTGTATGCTGAGCAAATAATCCGAGAAGCTGGACTATGTGAAGAAGAACATGGCATCAGAATTGGAGGAAGACTCATTATAAACTTGAGACACACAGATGACACAACTTTTCTTGCTGAAAGTTAGGATGACTTGAAGCACTTACTGATTAAGATTGAAGACTGCAGTCTGCAGTATGGATTACACCTCAATATAAAGAAAACAAAAATCCTCACAACTGGACCAATAAGCAACATCATGATAAATGGAAAAAAGACTGAAATTGTCAAAGACTTCATATTACTTAGTTCTGCAATCAACACCAATGGAAGCAGCAGTCAAGACATCAGAATACATATTGCATTGGGAAAATCTGCTGCAAAAGACCTCTTTCAAGTGCTGAAGAACAAAGATGTCTCCTTGAAGGTGCACCTAACCCAAGCTATGGCATTTTCAATCACCTCATATGCATATGAGTGCTGGACCATGGAAGACTAAAGAAGAGTTGATGCTTTTGAGTTGTGGTGTTGGCAAAGAATACTGAAAGTACTGCTGAAAGAACTAACAAATCTTTCCTGGAAGAAGTGCAGCCGGAATGCTCCTTGGAAGAAAGAATAGCCAGACTTCGTTTTATCTACTTTGGTCATGTTGTCAGAAGGGACCATTCCATGGAGAAGGATATCATGCTTGGTAAAGTGGAGGGTCAATGAAAAAGGGGAAGGTCTTCAATAAGGTGGATTGATACAGTGGCTGCAAAGATGGGCTCAGGTATAGCAAGGATTGTGAAAGTGGCACAGGACTGGGCAGTGTTTCATTCTGTTGTACATAAGGTTGCTGTGAGTCAGAGCTGACTCGATGGCACCTGAAAACAACATTGGCAAAATATTGATGCGGGAAGCATCAAAATAAAATGGAAGAATACACAGACTCACTGTATCAAAAAGAATTGGTTGAAGTTCAACAATTTTAGGAGGTAGCATATGGTCAAGAACCAATAGAACTGAAGGAAGAAGTCTAAGCTGCAATGAAAGAATTGGTGGAAAAAAAAAATTTCCAGGAATTGACAGACTACCAATTGAGAGGTTTCAACAAATGGATGCAGCACTGGAGGTGCTGACTCATTTATGCCAAGACATTTGGAAGATAGCTACCTGGGCAACTGACTGGAAGATGGAAGAGATCCATATCTGTTCCCATTTCAAAGTAAGGTGATCCAACAGAATGTGAGAACTATCAAACAATATCATTAACATCACACACAAGTATAATTTTGCTGAAGATAATTCAAAGACAGTTGCAGCAATATAATGACAAGTAGCTTCCAGGAATGCAAGCTGGATTCAGGAGAGGATGTTGAATGAGGGATATCACTGCTGATTTAAGTTGAATCTTGGCTGAATGCAAAGAACACCAGAAAAATATTTACCTGTGTTTTATTGGCTACGCAAAGGCATTCAACTGTGGATCATAACAAACTATGGACAAAATTGTGAAGAACAGGAATCCCAGAACACTTAATTGTGCTCATAAGGACCTATACATAGACCAAGAGGCTGTCATTCAAACAGAATGAGGGGATACTGCATAGTTTAAAATCAGGAAGGGTGTGCATCAAGATACTTAAAATCAGGAAGGGTGTGCATCATCATACTTGTTCAATCTGTATGCTGAGCAAATAATCTGAAAAGCTGGACTACATGAAGAAGAAGGTGGCATTAGTATTTAAGGAAGACTGATTAGCAACCTGTGATATCTAAATGGCACAACCTTACTTACTGAAAGCGAAGAGGACTTGAAGCATTTACTGATGAAGATCAAAGACCACAGCCTTCACTATGGACTACACCACAACATAAAAAAAGAAAAAATTGTCACAACTGCACCAATAAGGAATAACATGATAAATGGAGAAAATATTAAAGTTGTCAGAGATTTTATTTTACTTGGATCCACTATCAACACCCACGGAAGCAGCAGTCAAGATATTAGACACCGTATTAGACTGAGCAAATCCGCTGCAAATCCTTATTGTGTTTAGGAGCAAAGATGTGACTTTGAAGACGAAAGTGAACCTATCCCAACCCATGGTATATTCAATTACCACACATGCATGTGAAAGCTGGACAATGAATAAGAAAGACCAAAGAAGAGTTGATGTCTTTGAATTGAGGTGTTGGCACAGAATATAGAAAATACCATGGACTGTCTGAAGACTGAATAAATCTGTCTTGGAAGAAGTATAGCCAGAATGCTCCTTAGAAGTGAGAATGGCCAGACTTCATCTCATTTACTTTGTTCATGTTGTCAGAGTGACCAGTCCCTGGAGAAGGGTGTTATGCTTGGAAAATTAGGGGTAAGGAAGACCCTCAATGAGAGGGACTAATACAGTGCCTGCAATGATGGGCTCAAGCATACCAAGGACTGTGAGAATGGTACAGGACTGGGCAGTGTTGCATTCTCTTGTACTTTGCATCACTATGAGGCTGGACTGGCTTCACAGCACCTAACAACAACAAGAACATATTCCTAGCTATGGACAGTTAATATAAATTTGAAGTTGGGAAAACAATGCCTTAAAAATATTTAATGAACATTTACAATGTACTAAGATATAATCAACACTATATGTACATTATCTCCATCATTCTTCACAACTCTACAAGGTGGATACTATTATTTCCATTTGAAAGCTGAGGAAAATGAAGCTAAGAGCTGTTAATTAACTTATCCAAAGTCACCTAGCTGGTAAGTAACAGTTCTGGGAATTAAATTCACATTGTTTAATTCTAAAGTCTGAGCCCTTAACAACTATGTTATATTTTCTTTCAATGGCACCTAGAGAAATATCTGTAAAATCTACAGAAATGAAGATATTTAAAAAGACTAATAATACCAATAATATAGTAATAAACAAAAGAGAAATCTTGGCAACTGGTTTCTCTCTTGCCTAACCTGTCAAGTTGGCCTCATTTTCTGAAAGAGAAAGAGGCTGATAATAGGAGTAGGTCTTTTTCTAGACCAGAACTTTATATTAAATGCTAGACCTATATCTTCAGAATGAAACACTGTTCTGAAATGACAATATAAAACATCACTCCATCAACCTTTCTTATTACACCGTGATTGTGCAGATCTATAAATGTGTTTATAACTATGCAAAAACAGAAACCACCTTACCTATAAATGAATGGAGCCACTGTGGCAGTATTCGGATGACTATGTTGCTGCTGTTGAGGAAGTTGGACAGCACCATTTCCCGTGCTTTGCCCACTGCTTTGTGCCAATGGCATGGTGCAAGAACCAGAGGGAGGAGCTTGGACAATTTCCCGTCCTTCCAATGGCGTAGGGCAGTTCGATGTGCTTGCTTTCTCAGTGGTTATAGGCTTAGGTATGGACTGGGAAGGGCTTCCCTTTGTAGTCCTGAATTTTTCAGACTCTTTGCTTGCTGTGTTACCAGGTGAAACAGTTTGCTTTGCTGTTGGCACCTTCGAGCCTGGTTTTGGAATCCCACTAGAAGATGGAATTAAGCTTTCTTTCTTGCCTGCAGTTGTCTTGCTACCCTTTGGGATCAAGCTTGCAATTTTAGAGGTCTTTTTTGGAGCTGTCTCTATCACCTGCTCCTTCTCTTCTTTGACTGGTTTTTCAGTGCAAACTTTATTTTTGTCCCTGTTCTTTTCCTCTTTTTCCTTTGGCTGTAGCAAAGACTTTTTATTGCTGAGATTTTTGCTTCCAGCTTTTGGAGGGGCCAATTTAGGTGATACTTTAGGGCTGCTGTTTGTTGAGCCACCACTATTCAGACCACTGTTAAAAACTTCCATTTCACCAGACTCAGAAAAAGCATCTTCATCCTTTCCACCATCACTGGGACCTGAACTGGGAGACTGTGGGGGGCGTAAAGCAGTCCGGGTATTTACCAGCTTGAATTTTTCAAGCATGGATTTTTGTCCCGAGGGAGCAGTTTTGACTGCTTCTGTGACAGCTGGCTTCAGTCTCTCTGAAGATGGTGTGGGTGAGGTGGCTGGGCTCGACTGCTTTATCGTCAGCATGGTAGAGGTGGCACTGTGCTTCACATTCATGGACTTGCTGCGCCAGGGCTTGCTGGCACTAGGAGAAGGGATGGCAGAGGCGGGGGGCTGCCCAGCAGTGCTGGGAGGCTGCACGTTGCCATTCACACCTGAAGATGGTTGAGGTCCTTTGGAGGAATCTGAGCATTGTTAGAAAGAAAAGGGGGGGGGGGGAAGAAGGATGATTAGTTTTGATCATTTATATCAGATCATTAAGTGTTTTTTTAACAAGAAACATGGATGTTTCTTTCCTTTGAATAGATCAGTGATCAGCTCCAATCAGATCAGTGAAGCAATTGTTCTATGCACCACAAATTAAAGATAAAGAACACTTGAGAGACATTAATATATGGGGAAAAAAGTTTGTTTTTTTCCTCCTCTAAAATAACTCCTACTTAAATGGACTTCGCTACCTAGCAGCAAATACCTAAAGATACATAAAAATCTATTCTTCCCCTAAGCAATTCTTTCTATTTTTTTTCTACCCAACTACTATTATTGAAGCTCATACCAGTAAATGGATATTCCATATTGGTTTGTAAAAAAAAAGATATTGTCTAATGAATACTGAGAAACTGCTTTAAATTACAGGGAGTTTAGTTTATGGTTATTTAATCAGTAAATATAGTTATGCGTCATGATTTAGTCGTTAATTTTCTAAAATTTTATTTGTATAAAAGAATCATTACCATTTATACTACGTGTTAAATAATCTACTAAACACATATATTTAGACAAATTAATCCTTATAATATGTATATAATATGGAATTATAATAAACAATAAGTTATATATAATACATGTAATTATCATATAAATTAATCCTTATAAAAACCCTATGAGAACTGATTTCATAGTCTGGGTCTTAACCAGTCTGCTGCTTCCTATAGGGATGTGAACAAACTTTAAACTGCAATACAAAATCAAGCTACTTCCTATAAGTTAAAGGAAAATAAAATTTTTTATTATTAAAGTACCTGACAAAGCATAAATGCCAGCTTAATTTCCATTCAACAGCCACATTATAATATGTATCTTCATATGACTAATGCCTGATTTCAAGTCTTATGTGTAAGCAGAAGTAAGTAAATCAAAGAATGGATTTTATAACAAGGAATAGAATGAAACAGAACTGACCTAGGAGTTAAAAGACCTCAATTTGAAAATTAACATTTGAGACCTTGTAATTCAACTTACTTAATGAACAATTTCTTCAACCATAAGTGTCTCTTTTTTGCATCGCCTTTTCATTTGGAGGAAAGGGGGTCATTAAGTAAGATAGTTAATGTGCTGTTCATATATGAAATACTGAAAGATTGATGCAAAGCTATTTTTCATAAAACACCCAATGAAAATATTTTATAAAGAATATTCTTATTCATATTTAGAAATTGAAGCTTATTAAATTTCACTAAATATTCATAAATGTAAAGCTTTACAACAAATGGTAGCTTTTACAATATTTTCTTTAAAAAAGTCAAAATTAATAATAAGCAATATATATTTAAACCAACTGGTAAGGAACAGTAGTCTTACTCATTTTTCATAAGAGGAAATCAAGAAAGGAAATAACAAAGAAAATAAATAAAAAGAAAATAACAAAGAAATTAGAGATAGGAAAGAAGTAAAATTGTTAGTTTAATTTTGAGTGAATCAGGCAAGGTTTATTTTTTGAAAATAATTTTGCCAACATATTACATTTATATGAGCAATAATGATATTGTGCACAAATGCATTTTACATGAAATGTTCTTAATATTAATATACTGATATCAACTTCTAGTTCTCACTACTGTCTATTTCATTTCTTTCTCTCCCTCTCCCCCTCTCTCTCTCTCTCTCTCTCTCTCTATATATATATATATATATACATATATAAAACAACTCACTGCCTTTGAGTCAATTCCAATGCATAGTGATCCCCATTGGCTTTCCAAGGTGGTAAATCTTTATGGAAGTTGATTGTCCCATCTTCCTTCAACAGAGTGGCTGGTGGGCTTCAACTGCAAACCTTCTGGTTAGCAGTCAAATGCTTTAGGCACTGTACCACCAGAGCTCACCAGAGTTCAAAAAACTATATGCACTCTAAATTAAAATTCAAAAGTTCTCTGAAAATTTAAAACGCTTGTTGTTGTTATGTGCTATCAAGTCAGACCTGACTCACAGCAACCCCTTCTTGGGTTTCCAAGGCAGTATCACTACGAAAGTAGATTGCCCAACCTTCCTTCCAAGGAGTGGCTTGTGGGTTTGAACTGATAGCCTTCTGGTTAGCAGTCAACTGCCTTAGGCATTATGTTACTAGAAGGCACTATTTAAATTTTATAACATTGGTGGTAGTTAAGGTTGTGTGTCAACTTGCCTGAGCCTGGTTGAGTGGCTGGGCAGCTGGTGGTAGTTATTCCCCATTATGAGACTGGCAATCAATTCCATGGTGGCATCTACCACAAGAGCTGAGTAGCAGCTTCAGGGATGTGGTCTGCTTCCCATAAATTAGAAGCTTTGGGAATGGTCTCAAGCTTATGGTGCGCTTGAACCTTGCATGTAGCTGAGCCATTGTTCAGCATTCTGCCATGCCCTGGCGATCATGAGACTTTCAATGAACTTGAATCAACGGCCTGTTGTGTTGTTTGGTAACATTGGGACTGTGCCTTTTTACTTGTCAACCTTGGGTTTGTCAGCCTCAGCAGTCAGCAGCTACCTGAGAGAAGAAAGCCTCCAGCTTCAGTGGGACAGGAGCAAGAGGCAGAGCTGAAGGCCAAGGTCTAGGGGCTTTCATCCAGCCCCTAGAGCCTGCACTTTGAACTCAGACTTTAAACTCTCATTTGTTAAAACCATCCCATTTTGTGGTATATTTCTGTTAGAACAGTACTAGGTAACTAAAACAACATCTGATGATAAATTGGTATTTTTCCAGTATCCATATGAAGTTTTAAATTGTTTCCATGTCTGAGATATTTTTAGAAATTTGTCATGTTCATATACGAACTTTGTGTTCTGAAAAACAATAGAGTATTAACTAATTTAAGAAAAACAAATCCATTAGGTTTACAAACTTCCGGTTTCTCAAATACTTTACTCTCTGTGAATGGATTCAACCTTTGCTTAATATCTGGGTTATAAGTATGAATAATTTCACACAGAGATCCTTTTCAGGGTATGTTAACATTTTATCAGACTTTGAATGGTTTTCACACACTGACTACATCATGCTGGTAGGAATGTCTACCAAATATTTCTGCAGATTTATTTCTACTTTGATCTCATCTCAGTATTGATCTCACTTCCTCTGAAAACAAAACAAACTTTACCTTGGATCCTATGTCTGACTATCCTAATGTGAAGCCTGGATTAAGTGGCACTTCTACTTTTATCCATAGTTCACTATTTCCTCTATTACTACCATTTTCCCTCTGTTGTCACTGCTTGCTTTTTTTACTACTTGGTACATTCCTTGCATAGTGCCTAAAGCACTTGACTGTTAACCAGAAGGCTGGAGGTTCAAACCCACCAACCACTCCTTGGAAGGAAGATGGGGCAATCTACTTCCGTAGTGATACTGCCTCGGAAACCCAAGGAGGGGTTGCTATGAGTCAGGTCCGACTCGACGGCACATAACAACAACATATTCCTTGAAAGCAAAGACCATGCCTGTATTTTCCATAGCTCCATACTTAACATCTAATGTAATGTGTAACATTGAACAGATTATTGTTCAATCTTACAATTCATAATATTATCTGGTGACCCAATGGCAGTACCCCTTTTACATATTGATATCACCATTAAAACTTTGTTGGGAACAAGCAAGAAAGTACATGATGGTCTTGGTGATAGAGATGGACTAAGGAAATGGGTAGGCAGTTATGTACAAATACTGAAAATACCTTGGAGGACAGCCCTGGTCAAGGTTTCAGCCTGTGTATGTGTTGCCTAAAAGGACATTTGCATGTAGTATGCAATTTCCATGTCTCGTTGTCAGAGTCCCAACCATTCAATCATGACCCTTTGACTGATTGTAGCACATGTTTTATACTATGAAGGCTCTTTGATTTGGTTTGCACTTGAGCATTGCTAGTGGGTTTTGAACCCCGAGGAAGTAGGCCTTTCATGAGCTACAGTAACATCATTCATGGGTTCCAGGGAACGAGAGGTACATAAGCAGGACATGTTCTCTTCATGTGCCAAATAATTACCTTGGATTTTTTCCAAATTTCTACAAGTAAAATAAACATATATATGTGAAAGTCACCTTTCTCATAAAGTATTTTACATTAATTTTCTTTGGTTTCTCTTACTATAAAATTTTATAGTTTACATTTTATAATTTTTCTTCTTCCTAGAGAAGAAATATTTGTGTTCCTACCATGTACCAGTAATTCATTTCTTAGCCACTGAAGAAAACCACTGCCACAGAGTCAATTCTGATTCATAAAAACCCTACCTGTGTTAGAGTAGAACTGTGTTGCATGGAGTTTTAATGGCAGCAGATATTTCAGAAGTAGATCTCCAGGCCTCTCTTCCTAGGCACCTCTGGATGGACTTGAACCTTCAACCTTTTGGTTAGCAGCCACGTGCATTATCTCTTTGTATCATCCAAGGACTACTTGGTAGAGTAGTCATAACCCACTGGGTAGTAATAAGGCCAAAAGCCAATATTTACATAAGAACTACTCTAAAACAGGCACTGAACTATTTACCTCAATTCTCCCAACAAGTACATTAAGTTTTTTCTTTTATTATTATTATTACTTCTATTTTACACATGAAGAAACCAAGTCACAAAAAGTTTAAATAAGTTGACCTAGGTCACAGAATTTGTACGTGGCAAAGCTGATAACTGAACTTAGCTTAGATTCTAAATTCACTCAAATATTTTTCTATTAATCTAATGTAGGATAAATTCATTATCTGGTCGATTCCAAAAATTATTCCTAGAACATAAAAACACAGAAGCCAACAAAAATAGTAGTTGTCAAATTAATGCTTTTCAAGGGATTATATGAAGTGAAATTTATTTTTCAAGTACTCAGATTCAATTAGAAACTAAGAACCTTTCCAAACATAATGATTTCTTCAACTTCAGTAATTATGTGCCTGTCCATGTATTTCACCCAGTGACTCAACGTTTTGCTGATTTTTG